AATATGTACAATCACTCAAGGAAGTTATTTGGAGCTACCAATTCAAGGAGCATCTTATAAATAATTGTCTATTATCTACATCACAGGCCAATTTGGAGTCCCTACTGAAAATCAATGAAGAAATACTTCTCTAATTTCATAGGGCATAACTTTCTACCCATCCTTAGCCATAATAAAGAAAATAAAAATCTGAAGATTCAGCAACATCCCAAAGCTTAACAGAACAGAGGTATTAATATTAAAATAGAACCATTTTTCCCAAAATTTCACATATCCTGATACTTATTCTATACTAAATGAAATGAAACAGCCAACTGTCTTTTCTCATAAAGGTAACATTCAAGTAACCATGAGCTATGCAAAAGCAAAATGAAAATTAGACAAGGCTATTTCTTGATGTTTCATTGCCAAAAAAGATAGCGGGCTTTATTGCATTTTACTCCTGTATTAGTGTGCCAATGAAATATGTAGACAGCTGAAGAGTATGAAAAACAATTTTAAGACTCATTCATCAGGAAAAGTAAACTGTGTGCTATCTGAAGGGGCCAGCATGCTTCCTAATGGCCAAATTTCTGCCATTTTTGTTTGGCTGAGGAGCACCTGTTCTATAGGCCTGGTAAAGCTTCGTCTTTTAGATATTCACCAGCTGCTGAGTTTTTGTCCTACCACAAAGTATCTTTGTGCTCTTAAGCTTCTCTTTACGTGACTAGACTCTGTTAAAGTCTGTTTTTGAAGGTTTTTTTGTTGCAGGATGGCTACCCAGAAGCCTCCAACAGAGAAAATAACAGAACACAATTGGCCATCACCTACATTCCCCAGCTTAAATCTCTCCGATGCATCATCAGTGATCTACAACCCATCCTGGACAATGATCCCTCACTCTCACAGACCTTGGGAGACAGGCCAGTCCTTACACACAGACAGTCTCCCAACCTGAAGCAAATTTTCACCAGCAACTATACACCACACCACAATAACTCTAACTCAGGAACCAATCAATGCAACAAACCTCGGTGCCAACTCTGCCCACATATCTACACCAGCTGCACCATCACAGGACCCAACTAGATCAGCCACACCATCACAGGCTCATTCACCTGCTCATCGACAAATGTAATATATGCCATCATGTGCCAACAATGCCCCTCTGCCACGTACATCGGCCAAACTGGACAGTCCCTATGTAAAAGAATAAACGGACACAAATCAGATATCAGGAATGGTAACATACAAAAAACATGCAGAACACTTCAATCTTCCTGGGCACACAGTAGCAGATTTAAAATCAGCCATCCTGCAACAAAAAAACTTCAAAAACAGACTTCAAAGAGAAAATAAAGTGCTACAATTCATTTGCAAATTTGACAAATTAGGATTAAACAAAGACTATGAATGGCTAGCCAACTACAAAAGCAGTTTCTCCTCTCTTGGGGTATGTCTACACTACAGCGCTAATTCGAACTAACTTAGTTTGAATTAGTTAATTCGAACTAAGCTAATTCGAACTAACGGATCCAGACTAAAAAACTAGTTCGAATTAGCATTTTGCTAATTTGAACTAGCATGTCCACATTAAGTGGACCCTGAACAGGGCTTAAGGATGGTCAGAAGCAGTGCCGGCAGCATCAGATGAGGACGTAGAGCGTGGAGCTGCTGCCTCAGGCTAGCCGAGGGCTGTGCTTAAAGGGACCCGACCCCCACCCCGGACAGACAGTTCTCAGGGGTGCCCCGCTTGCAAAGCAGTCCTGGCTTGGAGTGCCCTGAGTGCCCACACTGGGCACATCACACCACTCGGCCATCAGACCGGCTGCACTTGCCGCAGGCTGCCATCTGAGGAGAGGGGGCAATTGG